CACACACCTTTTGTCTCGTAACCTCTCAGAGTACCACATATATTTCTGTAGTTTGGTCCATTTTGACAGTAAATCAACTTGTAGTGTGGTCCAATCAAATCAGACTTGATGCTGCCAGCACAGCGTCTACGTGGGATAGCCAAATACACTTGAAGAAGTGTCATATTAAAAAAGAAATAATAATAATGGACCCCGGGACACCATATTAATCCTTTTGTAGCTGTTGTGAATCCAAACTGTTACCAAACTGTTACCATCTACTGTAAATTATGAATCTACTTTCAGAACTCCCTTTAAGAGCCCTCAGGCACCGAGTGCGTGTGATACTCAAATGATCGATTGGTGGAGTGGTCCTTCTAGGAGAGCCAGATTTTAACAATCAATAGCGGTATCACTGATGGACGTGGCCAAAACGTATACGAGTAAAGTGAAGGCTGACATTCGTGAGGGGAGAGAAGTGATAGTGCTTTACTCCATAATCCATGTGATGTCAGTGTGAATGGCTAAAAATATGAAAAGCTTTCAAAATGTGCTGATGTTGCTTTGCAAGCGGACCTTTGAACCACCACGGCTGAATGACGCGGCTCACTGGGAAACAAATTGCATCTCTGCTTGTCATTATCACATTAAATCTGCATCAGCTGTCAACGAAGGGCCACAGCATCCACATACTTGTGCACACAGACACACTCCTCATCATCTTCCTCCTCCTTGACTAATCTCCAAATAAAGCTGCGAATGTTAGCCTCTAAAATCCTTTCACTTTGAATTTTGTTAGTGGAAAAAAAAAATCCCCGGAGAAGAATAAAGAAGGACGATGCAGGCGAAGAAAGAGATGAAGAGACGAGGGCTTGCCAACTCCTGCTGAGACCTCTTTGATAGATGCAGAGTTTTTTCAAAGAGGGAGTTTGGTTCATTTGCAAATCTCTCCGCATGAGCTGCGAGCTTTTTGTGTGTGTCTTTTTCAGTCATTGTGCGTGTACTGTATGCATACAGTATGCGCACACGTCGGGCAGCTGCAGAGCTTTCTTTGTACCCGGACTGCATCTTTGTACGAGAGAATAGTTTCTGTTCTTTCATTTGCTTATTTTGGGTTGTCCTCGTTTTCTGAAGGCCTCATTGTAAAATCTGTCTCGTATCCTTAAGAGAGACATTAGATTACCTTTATGTTTAGCAATACTGCAAATTAGGCTTACTGGAATCCCACCACTAAGCAGATCAAGCCTTCCTTTTTTTTACTATAATTTAAGTGCAGGAAATGTGAGATTCGACAGTTTCTCTGCAAAACTTTTTAAACAGCTGGCGAGGTTTTCCCTTCCTGCATGGGAGAAAAATGATTCAATCCTGCCACTTTGGGGCCAGATTTCAAAGAATGGAGGAGAAACAAGGTTGGCTGCATATTTAATTACAGCCATTATCCGCTGCTCCATCCAGCATCACAGAGAATAAAAAGAGAACCAACACTGTTAATTAGAGAGAGAAATGCAGCCGTGAAGAAATAAAGAGATCGATGTTGGGGGAATTAAAGTAGCTTCTGGGGTTTTACATGAGAATTTGAATGCTTGTTGTGACGTGCTTAGCCTAACACGTTTGGACATAGTTTGGATTAAAGTATTTGCTAACTTTCACATTGTGCATTTAAAAAAAAAGGTCTCTTAATGCTGTCAGGGCAAACTCCCAAACTTCCATGATTACTTTCTCATGTTTTCACCTGCTGTGGACCTTAATAGGAATCTTTAGAGCCAAAGAGAAAACTGAAATGAACGCAAACTACAAACTACTACTACTGCGTTGGAAGCTGCCATGGCTGTGAGTGTTCATCACTATGCTTCATTGGGGGACATGGACTGTGCTTTGGTTGTCTTTTGTTGTCTGTGTGTCTTATGTTATTCCCTAGGAGTGTCTATGTCCATGTAATCCATCCACACGGACAGAGAAGGGGCCCCTGAAAGGGTCCAGCACAGGTTTTGAATGAAGGCTGAACCGTGTACGGGGAGGGAAGCCGCCGCTACCCGATCACCCAGCTACGTTACACTTTGAGCTCGCCAGTTAACCGCAATCTGAACTCATTCAGACAAAGTGAGACGAAGCAGGATGTTCTATGAAGGAGACAGACAGATGTACCTCTTGTCACCTTGGCAGATCAATGACACGTCTCCTTGTTGTCTCATTGAACATTGACACTTTTATCATTTATTTACCTGCCTCTCATCCCGCTTCCCTCTGTTCTCATTTGTCTTCATCGCCATCCTTTGTGCCGTATCTCACTTTTATTCTTTATCCAACTCTAATGGATTCTTTCTTCGTGTATTTTTCAGAACTTTTTTCCCCAACTGACTTTTCTTTCGTTCACATCGCACCCCCCTCCCTTTTTCTATTTCTCTCTTGCTTTCCTTTGCAGCTTTCGTCCTCTCATCCTTTTGGTTAGCGGGACGTGGTACAGCGTCATGTCTCAGGCCACTGGAGGACTTTTAGAAGTCAACAAGAGAGAGAGAGAGAGAGAGAGACCGCCGCGGTCTCCCGGGTTCCTTCACACTGAGACACACACACACACACACACGCCAGTGTTAAGCTCGCAAATTCCCCACAAAGAGCTTCACTCCCACAAGGCAAGATGCCACAGAGAGAAAAAACAAAGACTTTCCTTCTCTTCCACTCCTCCTCTCACTGTAGTCCTCGGCTGTTCTCTGCAGCGCAGTGCAAACACGGAGAGTGATCAAAGAGTCTGCGGTGTCAGAAGCAAGGGACGAGATGGACGTGTGCGGAAGACGAAATGAGGGAGGGGGGTCAGAAGAACAGAGCTGTCAATCAAACATTACATCAAACTGGGTGGAGCTCTTATCCCGGTGAGGCTGTGTGGACGTCTGAGCTTAGCTGGAGGAGCATTAAGGTATCAAACCTTCTGCTTAGTTGCCCCCCCTGGGCTTCTTCTGAATTATGGGGGTTTTCTGATGAAGAAAAAAAAAGGCGAAAAGAGGGAGCTGTTTGCCAGGTTTATTAGAAACTACCCTTTTACATTTAAAAATGAATGGTAATTGTAAATGGTTGATAATAATTGTTTGTGGTTATCAGAGATAAATGCAGGGAACATCAGGTGAAGTATGTGGTCATTATCTTCTTCCGCTCTGAAAAATGTGTATGTGAACAAATTGTGTCTGCTAAAGTATCCTAATATTAGCATACAATATCTAATTGTCTTTAGATAATATATATATATATATATATATATATATATATATATATATATATATATATATATATATATATATATATATATATATATATATATATATATATATATATAATGAAAGTTGGCTTAAAATTGAAAAGATTTCATCTCATTAGGACAACTTCCCCAGACCAAATGTAAGACCTTTTTTTTCCCAGAGCTGATACTAATGCGTAATAAGCTCAAGAAAACTTGCTTGGTGGATTTGTTCAGAAAGATGTCTCATTAGTAATGTTTAAACAAAGAAAGTTGCTTTCCAACGCGTGTATGTCTGTATCATGGAGTCACAGCACCCTCCTCTGGATCCAGAGATAAGTACAGTTACAAATGTCATTTAAAAACTGTTTATTGTCGGTGCATGTATGTGTGTGTTTGTGTGTGCGTTTTTTTTTGCATACTGACTCACAAAATAATGAGCGCGAATCATGTCTTATTTGCTCTTGTTGCAGATCAAGTTCCTAATCTCCATATCGGACATTTGAGCGATTTAGACGATGAATCTGGTAAATAATTCATTTTAATTGTGAGTACTTAGATGCAAAAAAGCAGCAAAATTGTGACACTGCTCCCAGTGTCTCAATCTTCAGAGAGTTGCTCTTCCTTCTGCTCACTCATCCCCTCTCTGAGGTCCTCAAGGTGCAGTAAGAAAGAGCTAGTCTATGTCGGCAATGGAAGCCCAACATCTGAGTGATCAATCCCACCTTTCGTCTGCCCCCCCGATTCAGGGTGCAATTAAACAGGCAATATTCAACGAGCGAACTTGTCCCACTGACATCGACCTCTATAGAAAATCATTAGTTAAAGGCAATATTTGCCCTATTCCTGCTTTGTGTAGTTGCTACATTATCATACAAATTTGGAATCACTAAACTAGGGTTGTCAGTCGATTAAAAAGAATTAACTGCACATTTTGAAATTCATTAATTGTGATTAATCGCAATTGACAAAGTTGTGTTTACTGCTTTAATATATGTAAGCAACATTATCGATAATTAGCAGCATTTATTTTTGATAATTAGGTAAGTTGTATTTTCGAGGATTATTTTTATTGTTGAACAACTACAGTGCTCTTGATCAATCCAAAATAACAATACACCCCAAACCTGAATATTTACGAGAGTAAAACTGAGGTTTTGGTTTTCTTAGAATATCTATGTGTGCACAATTATTGGGAAACTATTAGTATACACAATTATTATGCAACTAAATGAAAAACGAAAGAATTCCTATCTCACGTGTTGATTGCCATCTGTTAAGGTCAGAATAATAAACAAACAAATCAAAATTTACAAATAAACATTCCAGTCTTCTTGAAAGATATAGACCTTGTCATGTACCAATCCGAAAAGGTCCAACTAGCTAATCTTTAATAATACCAGCCCATACCAGAACCCCACCTTGCTGGTGTCTGAGTCGACGCAGTGGGGCTCTGTGCCCGTTACTGGTCCAGCCACGGGCCCACTCATCAGTCCATCATCACCCTCACCTCGTCAGGCCATAAAACCTTTGAAAAATCTCTCTTTAGATTGTTCTTGGCCCAGTCCTGACGTTTCAACTTATGTGTCTTGTTCAGTGGTGGTCGGGTTTCAGCCTTCCCTACCTGGGTCGTGTCCCTGAGCACTGAACACCTTGTACTTCTGGGCACTCAGGTAGGTTGCAGTTCTGGAATATGGCAGCACGGGAGGATAATGGGTTGTAGCTTCCCGTTTGATTCTTCTCAATTCCTTGGCAGTTAATATGCATCTTTTTTTCTCCACACGTTTCCTGTGACCCTTTTGGCTATGTACAACAAAACGTTTAATTGTTCCGGGATCACGGCCCAATATCTTTGCAATTTCAAGAGTGCTGGTTCCCTCTGAAAGACTCGTTACCACTTCTGACTTTTCAGAGTCAGTTAGATCTCTTTTCAGGCCCGTTTTACCTGAGGAAAAGACGCTGCCTAATAATAATGCACACCTTGATATAGTGTATGGGGTTGATCTCCTTGGGCCACACCTTCCTTCATTACACAAACACACATCTCCTGATATGCTTAAATCCAATTAGCACTTTGACAATTTGTCAAAGGGGTCCGAAAAGACCAAAAATAAATGACAACAATGTACAACTTCAGCAGAAAACTGTGATCTAATTTGACACAAAGAACCCAGAAAGTTGTTGCACGCTTTCTTTATTGTAATAGATATTTTTGTTCATAGGTACAGTTTCTCATGACATTGTATACTTACTCTGTCCAAAATCAGGTGCCAGGTTGTATGAAGATGGTCTTCTAAGGTTGGTCCTTCAAGAGAGATGAAGAACAAACTGTTCCTGCTCGTCCTCTTAGATCCAGAAAGCCACACACTTTTCAGTCTTTAAGTTCCATGAAAAGCGAGAGCTTGATGTTACCGTTCAAGTTGAAACATTTCAGGAGGAAATGATGTGTGTATATACTGTATACATATATGAGAGCGAGAGAGACTGCGAGAGCGAGATGTGACACTTATGTCTTATATTATTAACAGACCTCTTACCTCTGATTGTCTGTAATAAATCAGCAACAGTCAGCGCAGCAGTGATTCACTCTTCTATAATAACCCTGCTGCCTAGCAACCAAGGAAACGTCTCTCTGCAGAAAAAACATGGGAGGGAAAGGGGGACAGGGAGGAAGAGGACAGTCCTTGTATTATTTCATTAATATGCTGTATTATAATGAGTATGTCACTAGCTGGAACATGATTCACTGGTTGCTTCAGCAGCTCTGACATATTAGAAAGACAGCGCAGTTTCCAACAAGACAACACAACACAAGACAACACCTCTAAGCTGCTGCCTTTAGAAACTGCTGTTAAACTTTTAGGCCTTTCAACTGCTAAGGGCATTATCAGAGTGTGTGACTACAGTTCATCTTGCGTTTTGTCACCTGTGTGGTCTGGCACAGCGGAGAGATTGTCAATCTCTCATTGACTCCAGCGTTAAATAATTTGTCAAGCTGACTAGTTCAGTGTGCGACCTTTATCGTTGATATCTGTGTTCTGATGGGACTCGGTTCTGTCAAATGGTGCACATAAATAAAAATACACTATCCGCAGTTCCACATGAACTACACATTCACGCTTCACACAATCAATCATGGGATTATCTTCATTTTGGACACATTACGAGCTCCAATGTAGCACCAGCCTCAGGCCAAAGAGTCAATTTAGAACACATTATTTCTTCCACTACCTTTGCTTGATGGTTGTAACCGGTCATTGTCGCATATTTTGGCTGCTTGGAGACAATATCTTAAGTTACTATAGGTTTGAGGATGTTTGGTACTGTTAAGAATATTTTAAATAAAATCAGGGCGAAAAGAAATCAACATGTAACAATTACCACACAGATGAACGTAAAATATCTACTAACTACATACAATCTTTTTAAACAGTTTTATGGATTTCCATCATTCCAACAATCACAAATCCTATGTGTTAGTCAGCCCATATGTTTCAACGTGATTGAGCAGGTGTGGTTTGATTGAATGTGACCCACAGTGGCAGCAAAATAAGCACATATTGAGTATGTCGCCGAACTGCGATTGGTGCACAGAGAAAAGTGACATCACCTTTTACCACAGAAGTATCTTTCCCAGACTGTTCTGACTTTTTGCAGGAACAGTGGTGTTCATGCATATGACCTCAATGCAGATGAAGAGGCGGACAGACCAAATATGCTGTCAATTTTCCTTACAGCGGCGGAACCAACCAAGCCTATTTTTCTGCCTCCATTATCACATCGCTATAATGGCTTCATGTTTTCAAACCACTAAGTGCCTCCTGCCTTTTAATGTACTCCCGTCTTCCTGTCTCAGCTAATGCTCCTCTCATTCCTATACACTCCATGCGATGGCATCAGCCATTTCTTCCCTTACATTACATCCGTTACATTAGAATATTACTCAGCTCGGAGGAAATATTGAGTCTTATCCTATGTTTTAATTGAGTTTAATCCAGCCTTTATTTCTTTCAAACCACACCCTCTTCGCCCCCCAGTGAGTAAACCTTTAGGAGACGGATGGTCAGGTGAAACCTGTGACCACCAGTTAGTCGACGCCTTTTGTCTTTTCTTTTATTTCTCCTCCACAGAAGGATGGATGGAGGAACGGGTTGAAAGAGGGAGGTCGATCTGGTTCTCTGCTTATTTGTCTGTTTGCCTGCACGGCAGCCTCGTTCTTCTGAGTAGAATGATGCCATAACGCAGACATTATTTACACAAAGCCAACGTAAACGTAATGTTACACACGTATTCATTAAGGTGTAACATACAATAGCTGATGTTACATCCTGAAATAGTCGTTATTGAATTTCGATTGAGAAATAAATGTATCTTATGTGATTAACAAATGGTCAGTTGGATCGTCGTGTTTGCACGTTGTCACCCACGTGATTTTAAATGTCCCCCTTCTACGCTTATATGTTGCTCTAATAGATTTTTTACGATAGTTATTATTATTATTATTATTATTGAGTCATCCTCCATCTTATTCCAGCGGTTTCCTGCACCGCCCTCCCTCCCACGCCTCCAGCGAGCCGACAACCACGAGACCAACTACCACTAGGCGTCAGACACCGTCAGCCACGAACTGCCTCTGAATCCCCTTTTAAAAAAAACAGAAAGATTTAGGATTTTAATGCACACAATAACGATTTGCTGCTCTTTTTCTGTCAGACGTAATATTTTACTAACCCATCCTTGTTCATAGTCTAATAAGAAGGAGAGAAAATGTCTTCGCCGGCGCAGGAAAGGAGGACCGGCGTCCAGCTGCTGAGCGCGGCGATGCTGCTGCTGTTCTCCGGTAAGAAACCCGAAAGAGACAAATCGATCCAGACCGCGAAACAGACGAGGACCAACAGCTCAATGGCATGATAGCACCCGAAAACCGCTGCAGCTTGAGGCCCTTTCCATCATATGTCACTGTGTGTGTGTGTGTGTGTGTGTGTGTGTGTGTGTGTGTGTGTGTGTGTGTGTGTGTGTGTGTGTGTGTGTGTGTGTGTGTGTGAGAAAGAGAGAGAGAGATAATGGTTGTAATGGGATATCATGGTCAATTGTTATTCCATCGTGTCCCGAGTTTGATGGAAGTCGCCCATTGAAAACCCAACATTATATTGTGGCTTTTCCTGGACTGCTTTCAGTTAAACTGAATTGTGGTCTGTTGTGGTCATCCCCCCCCCCCCCCTCTCTCCTCCGTCTATACGGCTCTACTTAGCCTTTATTGACATGACTGCCCTGCAGCATCGCAGCCTTTAAACGGGATTTGGACAGAATGCATATTCGCTCCTTGTGCACACAGAGACACCGTGTAGGCTGCAGGAGGTCTGTGGGTATTATGGGGCCTTGTTTGCAGGAGCAATACAAACCTATTCATTGGCTCATCTGCATATTAGCTACATGAACACATGAGGGGGCAGATGGGAAAAGCAGAATGTCCAAAGCCAAACCGCTTCGTGCTCATTTACAGATGAAAAGAGATCAAAACACGTGGATGATCACATGAGGCTTAAATGCAGATTTACAATCGAAAGCCTAATGAATGAATGAATCTCTATTATATAAACCAGTTTTGGGTTACAGTATATGTCAGCATTGAGCTTGTGTAACATACCCCCCCCCCCCCCCCTACCTGCTGCATCAGCAATGATATACCATGAAGCAACTCCTTGCCACTGATAAGTGACACTTAGAGAGATCATTCAGGTTTAACCAGTAATCAGTGATCAGTAGGGGAATCAGATGTAATGCAAAACAATACAAAACATGTTTGTACACTTTGATGGGAAATCAAATGTACTTCCAGTTCCAAAACGTCATCGTCCCTTAAAGTCCAATCTGAAACGTTTGACTGAGGAGATCGGTGCGTTCCTCTTTGAATAGTGAACGGAACACATGTTGCGTACAACCTTTTGGAAGCCTCCTGCCTTCCAGCATCCCGCCGACTTCTCAGGACTTGTGAAGCCATTGCAGTTTCCCACCATGATGGTTTGAGCCTCACTCAGCAAACCTCGGTCTTGCAGTTGGAATCCAACCGGCACAAGGTGGCAGCAGCGCGCTGCAAAGAAAAGGCAGCTGCTTTTCACGCACTGGCACCTATTAAATCACTAGCATTATTAAATCAGGTGAAACTGCCACAACTCAGTCCCAGCTTCAGTGTGCGATACTATTGCTTGTATGACTTGTAAATCCTACGTGGTTGATAAAAGTAAAGAAAGCATCAGTAAATTGAATTTACTTTTCTCATTTTGCCATTTAAAGTCCTCTGTGAAAAAGACTCACACAACTTTCCAGACTAATGAAGTATCAGTGTTTTTCCTATACAGTTCTCTGCGTATCCCTTTATTAAGGTCTAAAGCAGGGTTTTGAATTAGTTGTATACATTCCTTTAGAAATACACCTTGAAAGTGTGATAGAGCTGCTGATGTTTCTCATTTATGAGATGTTCAGTTTTCTCTTCAGATTTCAGCTTTACCTTTTTGTTTGCTGAACAGAAATGTCACGGCTCCAAACCACTAATGTTTTAACACGCTACCTTTATGTCTGTCTCTATTCACTCACACGCTTCTGTGCTTCATGGGTCTCCATGTTTGTATCTCCCGTAGACTCCATTCAAACCCTTCCAAGGCTTTTTGCAAGTGTCACCCTAGTGTTTCTTAAAGCACCCAGACATGTGACTCTATCAGAAGTAGACATGACACTGTCAATCATGCATCACACTGACAAAGTGAATAGAATAGAAATGTCAATAAAATTTCGTATATGTAATCGGTGGTCTCAAACAACTATGGGCCTGTGGAATAATTACGCCTGAAATACCGCTTTTAAATTAGGGGTCAGTTTCCTGGATAATGGGCTCCTGTCTGTGCTAATATTACATTAACTTACCACATGATGATGCTGTGGTCCGTGCTTGGTTTTTCATAACTTTACGGAGTTTGCCGCAAACTGCTTTACCGGTCTAATCATGGAGGAGTCTGAGAAAAAAGCATCTCCGTCCCCTCGGGTCTCTCCTTGGAATCGACTGCTGACCGTTGGTACCTGAGTGTGCAGAATGCAGCGGGCACCGGAGCTAAGTCCCTCTTTACCGAGTCAACACTATCAGCACTACTTATGACTTCTAACCATTTAATGGCAGCATGCTGTGGTAAACACACCCGCCACAAAACACAGGTCGGCTCCGGGGGCTTTGGTGGCCGGCGGTCAAGTTGCAAACCCATGATTCACCTTTTCAACAATGCCGCTAATGCTGCTCTTTGCTGGCTTGAGCGACGCTGACCAACCGCTGAGCGCCGTCTGCAACGTCTCCACCGTAACCAAATGACCCAACAGGAGAAAGCGTCGAGGCGCCAAGCAGCAGCAGAGTGATTGTCCAGTTGATACTCTCCATTTCCAAATAATTGGGTGGGGGTACTTTCAGGGATCGTACAGCTCAGTCCCTGTAATTTATCATCCTGGAAAGTAGAGCCTCTAAATTCTGCCCCTTACAAGCACCTTCACGTCACTTTTAGAAGAGACTCTTGAAAAGCTGTCTGTCTTTTTGTCAAGCTGGTCATCAGTGGATTCCTGCTCAAACTCATTTTTAAAGTTCACTGTATTATTTATTGCACCTGTCCACCCGTGCAACGATTTAAGTTCAGCAATCATCTTCTCGGTTAAAATGAAAAAGCATACAGGATGACAATACTGCTTACAGAAGCCCCGAAGGCCACATTTTACCTTTCTTTTTTTAAAATGCTAATTCAAAAAGAGTTTGGGCGTCATGACTACTCCTGTAAGATCTGCATTTTGTTACATACACATATACTTACCATCTGTTGGTCTGTAACTTGCGTCCTCTCGCCCATGTGTGAGTCCAATACACCACGATGCCGCGGATCGCTTTAGGTGCACACGTACATGAAGAGGTGGAAGAGGTGACATAACACTCCTACCTTTTCTTTCATGCAATGACCTTGTTGGAGTAGAGAACAATGGAGGGAAAATCAAGTGCGTAAGAGAGAGAGAGAATGATGGGCTTGGAGGGAGTTGGGGGGAGGGGGGGGGGGGGGGCGCCGAAAGTGACCATGGGGAGAAAACCAAAATCTCATTTTCACCGCAGTGATGGGACAGAGGACGTAAGAATTGGCGGTAGGACTGAGGCGGGAGAGGAGGTCGAGGAAGCGAGAGGAAAGAAGGAGGGAGGGCAGAGGGAGGGAGGAGTCTGCTTCACTGCAGTATTTCATCTGTTAGCAACTCTCCGTCTCTCCCCGTCTGCATCTGCCCATTTCTCACCATCCGGAGGCTGAGTCAGCAACCCGACGTGGGTTTGGCTTTCAGTAGCAAAGGGACCATAAATGCGTTTGGCTTACGTGTGTGTGTGTGTGTCAGGGACTTTGGGGTTTAAATATGTTTGCTGCGACATCAAAAAAGCTTGCATGGCTAGCACACTTCTGACCATTAGGGTGTGTGTGTCGATGTTTGTGCGTATGCGGTTAGGTCCAATGGGGGGGAGTAAGAAGAAGCAGCTGCATTAAAAGACACCTGACTGCAGTGAACTGCGCACATGGGAAATGGTGCATGCGTGTGTGTGTGTGTGTGTGTGTGTGTGTCAATTATAAATCTGCCCGAAGGGGGGGAGGTGCAGAAATTGCATACGCGTGGGTGTGTGTGGTGCAGAGAGGCAGGCCTGTGGAGTGGTGCAGCAGCAGCAGCAGCAGCGGGAAGGGAGCCAGAAAACACCCGACTGCAGAGGAAAGAATGGTGCAGAGTCCCGTCACACACACACATACACACACACACGCTCACATCCTGAGTGAGAGGCACAGATTCTGTCTGGGGCGTGAAAGCTTTGGCGTGATGTTAAGAAGGGAGGAGTAAACTTGTTATTTCATTTCAAGTAACATGATCTGCAGTTATATGCTGTTTGTCTTTCATTTTAGAAGGATGAAATATAGAAGATGGCTCACTGCAGCAGTCGCAGTGTGTATTTAAGTTTCTCGCTAAGCAACGTGGTCATGAGTGCCAGTAAAAGGCTCTTGTGGTCTTTCAGCTTATCCATCAAATGTCATCACTTAATCAACCGCATTACTGTGCATTCATTTGGATAGACACACTAAATTCCTGACTACTATTCTACTATTTTCATCAGGCCCAAATGTTTTAATGCCAGACCGTGATACCCAAAAGCTTCATTGAAATCATACCAGTGATGACTGACAGATCCCATATTTGACTTCCATCAGTCCATCGTGTTTGAATAAATATTTAACATTAGCCATCACCCTGCACATCTTCTAAATTAATGGAAACATAACAATGGGAATATCATTTTGCAATTTCATTAACAAAGACTTTTACCTGCTCACCATGAGGGTAACTTGCCTCCAGTACGCTGATTTTCCTAATCATTCCACGTATGGATTTTGGCGTAGTTTGGTTTGATTACAGTGTATTCATCCATCAGATCCGTATTCAAGTTGAGACATTAACGACAGTGTGTTGTTGTTTTTTTATTTACAGGTTGTTCAAGCATGGATGTAATCATGCCCAATAGCATCAATGCACTGAATGGAACAACTATCAAAATCCCCTGCACATTTACCTCCTGTTATAAGATCGATCCCAACATGTTTGTGATGAACTGGACCTACCAAGAAACGCTGAATGACACAGAAGAAATGGTAAAAAAAAAAGCATTAAATACAGGTGTCCACGTTTGATAAGTTTAGGCTAAATACAGAGTCTCTCTATCTCCCTTTATTAGATCATGGCGTACCATAAGAAACGAGGGATGGTGCCTCTGCGCTCGGACCGGTTTGGGGAGAGGGTCATGTTTGCCGGGAACCTGGATAAGAACGACCTGTCAATCACTCTGTCCAATGTTCAGATTGAGGATGAGGGGATCTACAACTGCAATGTGAGGAACCCCCCCGACCGCATCACAGGTCAACATGGCATACAGCTCAATGTCGTCACCGAACGTAAGACGCTGAACCTACACCTTCTTGCAGACACCACACTGCATGAATCCTACACCTCGCCGTGAAGATTCCCACAAACTGCACAGCTCAAACCTTCAGATTCACCCCTCGGCTGCCAAACGCACACAAACGGAAAGAGACTTTTGAAATTCTGTAATAATGTCTTTTCTTCTTAATGTGAAATACTGCTTTGTCGAAAAATACGTCATAATTTGCAGTTTGATGACCTCTCTCTCACTGTTGTCCTCCAAGGATAAATGCCCTACAGCAATCATATATAACATGTGCGTGTATTTGTATAGAGCGTGGGGACATAATGGCGATGTGTCAGCTTTTTACCTTTTTAATGACCAGTAAGAGGTTGAAGTCCCTCAGCATCTTTTTTTTGTTTGCACCCACACATCACTCTTGCACACGCACACAGCCCTGACTAACTCTGCAGCACTTTCTTTCTCCCCACTCCACTTTAATGAGCCCAGTAAAGCTTTTAGCCAGCATTTCACTCGTCTGCCTCCTCTACAAACTACTTAACCCCGTCTTCTCCTCCCCTCAGTTCCGCCTCCGAGGGATTCGACCATTGCAGTTGCGATCGGGGCGTCAGTGGGCGGAGCTTTAGCTCTGCTGATCCTTTCCATGCTAGTGGTGAAATGTCTCCGTCGACACCGAAAAAAGGAACTGATTTCAGAGGAGAAGATGGAGGAGGAGGAAAAACTGGACGCTGAGGTTGTTGCAGAAGAGGGGAACAAGTAAGACATCTCAACATCCTAAATAGTTGTAGTCCAAGAAGATAGCAGAAAAATACTAAGCCAGCTTTTTTATTCCCAGCGCCTGTTCTGCTGGTATCAGCAGGAATGAACACATTTTCCTGGAGAAAAAAATACACAAAACTTTCCTAAAAATGGCTACAAAGGCTCATTTTAAATGACATTAAACTAAAGAACTTTTTTACACCTGCATTATTCTATCCATAAAACCTCAATTAGGACCGGGTAGGTCTCATGAGAAAATTAACATCACTCATGTGTGTTATGATACATTATTATCTTTGTTATTAGATTCACATTATCCATTGTGTGTCGTTGATAATTAGGATTCATTACTGACACACAGACATTCTTGCGGTGAGCCAATCAGCATCTTTCCCTCTTTTCTTCTCTCTCCTCTCACCGCTTGCCAGTGGCACAGGTTGTCAAAATCAAGGCGTGACTCTAAACTGTGTGTGTGCGTGTGTGTGTGTGTGTGTGTGTGTGTGCGTGTGTGTGTGCGTGTGTGTGTGCGTGTGCCTGCTGGGGCTCGAGAAGTGGACAAACACCAGCACTCACATAGTTTTACATCAGAAAAGATGTGAGATATTACCTTGCATTTTATAAAGTCCTTAGAGGCTTGGGAGGGCAAAACTAATATAACTTGTTTTATCAAAGGGTTCCCATGGGAGAATCCCGCAGACCCCCCCCCCCCCCACACACACACCCTACCGTGGTCCAGGTTTGCCCCACCTTTAAATGTATACATGTGCATCAGCCCCACAAACCACATCCCACATCAGCCCGAGGAGCTGCGTTTCAGATAATGACCTCTGACCTCAGCCGTGCTGTTTTCAGATCAGTGGAAATTCAGATGCACGTGCTGCATGTTAACAAGGACGATGGGATGATGATTGTATGTAAAGTCCATATAACTGGACTGGTTCCACAGAAGCCTCGTACATATAACTGGAAAGAAAAAACACACAGTCTACGTCACTGTACCTCAACTGTCCTCTCCTGCAAATGGATTCAAAACGTCAAACCTTCCTCCTCTACTGAATAAAGCTAACCTGTTGTCGGGCATCTCTTATATCTGTAGACAACCATAGCTGGGTCATCTGATAGAACCAGCGGCCTGTGAAGCCCCCCCCCACTCTGGTAAATACCCGCTCATGTCACCCAATCTGGACTGTTGCTGTTGTCTGTCTTGAACAACATGTCCGCTACCAAACCCGACATGGTCTGGGTAGAGAAAGCAAAATGTGAAACGCAAACTCATTTTAAAGAAATCGAGGAACCCGCTGAAGTCAAACCAGACTTACCGGGCTTGGCTCCATTTGCATGTTACGTGCTACCATAAGAGTCACAATAAGTCGCAGTTATTACAATAAAGTCAAAGCCATCAGATGCAGAACCTTTATTTATCAACGTCTCCGTCAAAAGAGCGTCGTGGATGTGCAGTGTGTTGAAAAAGGAATGCATTTACAGTGTATGTATGCATGTGTGCAAGCCTGCAGTTTCTTTGTGTGTATTTTGTCCCTCTCTACCTGCAGGTTTTATCTCTGGAGAAGTTTATTTCCAGAGGCATCAACCATGAATATCACCAGCATAGGTTGAACGATGTCTATTCTCTTTTTTCTTTTTCTTTTCAGGCATAAGAACTCCCTGCCTGAAGACCTATAGTGAGCACTTCTTGAATCATTGTCCACTGATACTTCCATTCCCTTTGCATGCGTGTGCTTGGGTGTGCGTGGCTGTTTCTATGCGCCTGTGTGAGATGTGTCTTTTTCCTCGAAAAAAGCCAGGGAACATTTTTCTGCAACTTTCCTGCTCAACACATATTCCTTTTTTTATACGTAGCCACAAGTCAATACCAGTGGCTATTTGTTCTGGTTTAAGAATCGAGTGTCTTTCAACACAGCCTTAAAAACACGTCTTCATATTGGCACCAAGTATTAATTTAAATTCACAGTTGCAGTTATACAGAGAGAGAGAATCAATCCTCAGACTTGCGTGGATGTTTTTCTCGCAAAAAAACACCGCCCTGCATGTTCAGTAGAATGTGATTATTTACTCTGCTCAGGAGTCGTTTTTCACAGCAGACATTTTGACTTTTCAAATCAGGAAAAAGCACCGCTGTAACTAACAACATAGATGCCGCTGTTCTATTTGAGTGTAGTGACGGCGGTTTTCTGTGTATTCTCAGGCTGTTGGGAATACAGACCTTTGACATTGCAATTGTCAATGGTGCGCCAAAAATAAAATAACAAACAATTTAATGTCTATTGTGTTTGCCAGGCTCAGGTTGTTTGACAACATCATCAAATGCAAAATACAGAGAATTAAAACCCTTGTTTTTTCAATGTCATGGCTGAATAATGTAAGACTCCGAAGCTCAACTTAAGTAAAGTAAACTTTTTCTTTGGTCTGCCCATGTTTTCTGTAACTCGTGAGTCAACGTGAGTCATCAGTGGCAAAAACACACACTGTATTGCACGTGATTTGATTGAGTTGTGCTCTTCTTCTTCAAATGCTTTACCGTATAAACAATGTTACTGGGTGAAAAGGACGTCGTTATGGATTAAATTAAGTTGATTACGGTTGATACATGCCAGTATTTATGTCAGAAACATATCAAAGACTATTCCATGTGGAAAATCTCTGCAAACACAATCACCTAATTTGCACGAGTGACAACATTAAATAATTAATAATGGGGGGAACTTAATAAAACAGCCACAAGTTGTATAGTTCATCCTCATCCTTGACAAATATTGCACGCACAGTAGCACAGGGGATAAAACCAAATGATCCAAAGTAGGACACAAGATGTTTGTGGTCACGACTGACAGAAAGGTGCTGAATTGCAAATAGGTAGAATCATCTACTTGGTCAACTGCATCATGTACAGCTTACAATACTGCCACGACTGCATGTCCAACAGTGCATATCAACAAAGCATAAATAGCAAGAGATGCAATCATGTTCTGTGTAATTGCTCGATTACGTTTATGAAGCCGCAGCAATGTGAGTCGGTCAAAGCATGTTTGATCTTTCGCATAAGTAGCAATCAGGTGGCGCTATTTATCAAATATAACAGCAGAATTCTATTTGGATTTCATTTTTCTTAATGCCTATATATTTTTAGGTTGGCTTTTTTCAATGTATAATGTCTCACAGGTATTTGGTTGCCCATGTATGAGATTAATCTGCCCTGTAAATGTATGTTTTAAAAAAGATCTGCTTCCATTGTAGCTCCCAACTGGAGCCTGGTTTATAGAGATAAAATGTAAACTGAGCCATTGTATCTCAATCCAAACTCATTTAAAAAAAAAAAAAGATTGTTAAATACTGCCTTGATCTCATGAGTGGTGTATCAAAGATGTGTGTATTTGTTTTAACCCCCAACACATTTATACCAATTCTAATATAATCAGTTGAATTAGTGGAGGGCACGCGGATCGGCAGAGACCAGGGAAGCCACTTTGACGAGGTGTTATATGGGAAAGTGGGACTGTTGTAGAAACGTGGCATGATGATTGTATGGTTCAATGGCAAATATTTGTTTGTGTATCTTTTCTATCACGTCTTTCATCGGGGCACCTTAAATGTAAAAGAAATATATGTATCTTGGTACGATTAATATTAACGTCGACTTTTACATGTTGCAGCATGTGAGCTTTGTTGTACTCTGATGTTGTGATGGGAGGCCGGCTTTCACAGGGTGATGTCTTTATGATATCTGTAATGTCTCATGCTGGTTAGGGAGGGGTTGGCTCTTCCAAATCTGGAGGCTTGTTCATTTTTTGTTTTAGATATTATTTAAAAAAAAACTGTGTGTAAGCCTTTGTTAAGGCCTATAACCTAATGAGGGTATTTGTGGTTTGATTTGTTCATGATTTAATAATTATAGGGGATGTATGTGTTTGATGAACATGGTCATTTACCACAACAACGCTGTAAATAACAAAAAAGGATGGCGATGTGTTGAAATAGTCACATTTCCTGGGACACGGCTGTCCAAACGGGTTCAAACCCGTTTAAGTCACAGGGTTTGAGTGGTTGACCCGTGAGGTGATGATAATATTATGTGGGGCCAACTGACAGCAGTTTTAACAAGGGAGGTTTTGTCCGCAATATGAAGTCAGATAGATTACCTTTATATTGTACATACTTCATTTTTCAATCAGAAAAAAATAAAAAGAATAGTACTGTATGCTGGAGTAGCATTGTGCATCACTGTTTACTATCTCTGACTATGGGTTTTCCCGCCGTAGTTGCTCTTGTACCACTTTAAATGTTAGTGAACACCAAAATAATGCTTGCACTTTGCTGCCTTTGACCATGCAGCTGTCATCACATGGTGTATTTTGAATAAAGATGTTGAAAGGAAAATGTCGCGGTTCCCTGTATTCCACTTTTTATCCATCTGTCCATTATCCTCATCACATTGCTAAATGGGCAGACAGCTACAGCAAGCCAGCATTTACAACTGCAGGCCAGTCAAGAGTCCCCTGGCGTGTATTTACATGGTGCTAGGACACGGACAAGGACAAGTGGAAACATGCAGATCCACAGAGAAAGGGCCCTACCAACTCCATTCAAAGCCTCATATCAGGGCATCAGTGTTGACTGCTCCACAGTACGCTCATGTGCTTTGACACTACGCATGTATTGTGAGCAGCAGCAAGACTCAAACCAGGCTGCACTCTCGTCTCAACCTGGAAGTGCTCCACTGAGAGTCAGCCAAAGGTCACTTTTTAAATGGGGGACGATGTATTTTCAGCTTTTGCAGGGAAATGTGGTTTCTTTTTGGTTCTGAAATGTAGCCCAGACCAAAAATAGCCCTGCGTGCGTTGGTTTAATTGAGTTAATAGCGCAAGGCTCTCTATAATACTAATAGAAAGGAATATGCAAATCGCAGCCATTTCGTCTTGCGAGGTAATTCAGGTAACAATCTAGCTGCGCCTTTCCATGTATTTGATTGGCAGGTGCAGTTCCAGTCCAGCAGTGCATTCCAGTAGCAGATGAGCCTCCTTCTCCCTTTTTTTAAATTTCAGATGACCCTGCATGTCTTTTGGCTGCTTTGCACCCGTCACTGCGTCAGCCCAGCAGCCTTTTTCCATGGAGACAAGGGGTCAAATTTCTGCATGCAGTGCGGATGTGCGAAGAACTAAATGATGTTTTAAAGCGAAATGATGATCACTTTCGTTCACAGACAATGCATGTCACTTCAAATAAATGCTTGAGTGAAATAGGCTGCTGCGCAGACTGTCACTTCTAAACACAGTGAGAAAATACATGTAATGCACATTGCTTTCGCACCAATTCAATTCTAGGAGCCGTTGAAGTTAAGTAGTAAAAAAATATTATTTATTTCCACCATATATATTGAATAGTTTTTATCCCAAAAACATTATACAAAATAGTGAGTGAAGTTACACTACCTGCGCACACACTCACACACACTAACCAGCAGACTTTGCAATCTTTTTCAAGATTCACACTTCTATACATCAAGCCCTCGCTTGCCCCCATCAAGCAAATAATTGCAGTTTTTAAACTCCAAACCGTGAGATACAAATATAAGGCTCCACAACAAACTGTGAGGCTGAAAACCTCCAAACCCGAATCTCCCCCGAGAGGCCGGCTGCATCCTCTGCACAGGTATGCACTGCAGCCCTGCTCTTAACTTCAGACGGGACTCACCTTTTGAAGGTCCCTCTTCCCCCGCCGAAAGAATGATGGACGGAGAGACAAGAGCAGGACATCGAACCGCGGCGACAAGAAAACAGGAATGGGACGGAAAGACAAGAATGGAGATGATGACATTTATGATAGGAATAAATGAAGAAAGGGTGAGGAAAAAGAGGGAGGACAGATGAAAAGGAAGGGGTATGGAGGGAGCCCCGCCCCACGCACAACTCATCCACTCAGGATGCTTTCTGAAGTCTGCTCACTCACGGGCTGGTGCAAAGAGAAAAGAGAAATAGGGCGAGTAGGGGGGAGGTGGAAGTAAAGGGTGAGGAGAAGGTTACCAGAGTGGGAGGTGAGAGTGGTGGGAAGATGGAGGCATGGCGAGAGAGAGAGAGAGAGAGAGAGAGAGAGGAAGCGGCTGAGAGGCGAGTGTCTGTCGGTAGCTCTGGAGCAGTTTGGCTGCGTGGCTTCGCCGCAGCGTTCAGCTGCCTTGGCCGTCCCAGAAACAGATCCTCCTCTCCCCCTCCTCCCTCCGCCTCTCATCTCACCTCCCTCCTTTGCCTCCTGCCATCCCTCCTCCCCTCCCCTGCTTCTCTCCTCCTTCTGCCATCTCCTCCTTCTCTGTCCTCTTACTCCTTCTGATCCTTCCTCCTCTCCTCTCATCAGTGTAATGTCCTCTTTTGCTCCGCCTCCCTTCTTTACACCGCATCCAAGGTCACCCTGTCCATGAGGCAGGTGTGTGTGTGTGTGTGTGTGTGTGTGCGCTCACATGTGACAATGTGTTTTGGCCTGTATATGCAAAGACGCATGTATGCATTCATGGATGCATGTTTGCATCTCATTCTACCTCATTCATATACGTGTGTGTATTTATGGATGTCCCTGTGACATCCACTGACATATTTATCTACATGGAGCCTGCTGCAATAAGGTATGTATGTCCCTCATCGATCACCCCCCCACATGCACAATAAAACATCGGCATGTGTGTGTGAGCGATGAAGTGAAGCACCCGGCAAAATGTAGGAAATGAAACAGGGAAGCAGAAAAGTGGTAACAGAAATAAAGCTTAAGTCATGATGTACTGTACATTTTCCCTTTGCACTATATGATTCCAGAGATAATAAAGTAAAAATAATGGAGAAAAAAAAGGATAGCATAGGATAAAAACTATAGCACAAAGGTATATAATGAAGCAATGTTGGGAATAAAGCATCAGAATACTTGAAAATGAAATGTCATAGAATCTTGTTATTCTCTTTCGGCAGCCTGCCAAGCAGCACAAAGGCACAATGTAGTGGGTGTACTGAGGTGGATGTGGGGAAGTTAAGTATGACTAATCGGATGCATGAATAATTTTCTGTGATATGTAGATGGACCGTGGTGTCAATTATGTTCCACAGTAGAAGTAGGTGGTGGTGGTGGGGTTGCACATGAAGTTCTGGCAGATAACAGATAAAGAACAGTCCCATTTTGCCTCACCTGTGCAAGTCTTCAGTGCCAAAAGTCAGTTCATCCACCAAGTCCAACAAGGTATTTATACCCATCCTTGTTTCTAGCAGTTACAACACCGCTGGCATGCCGCTCAATGTGCAAGGAAGTCATAAATCCTGTGAAAGAGGTCACACTGCACATTCAAGTAGTGGACCGGTGACCCTTCACTGCCATCGCGTCGTGCTCAAGGCTGAGCTAGATGGTGTACTGAGCTAGATTGTGTACTGCTCAGGCCGTGTGATTGACACACAGTTGACTTACTGCACCTTTGTGCTTTGCAGGCAAAGGCATTTCGACTAAGACCGGTTTACAGCTTCAGTCCACTGAAGGTAGTCTGGGACAATGTGATTGAAAGCCAAGGAGCGTATACCTCGAGGACAGGTCTTTCCAGTGAAGTCCCATTCATTGATGGTAAAGGTTTCATGAACAGATGATGGATGACGGGCTGAGCTCTGGTCCACGGACCTCAAAGGATCCCGTCTGGACCTTTCGCCACAAATTAACTTACATCGGCACAGTTTTTGGCAGTTTCTGGATTGTTGTCAAATGTGCCAAGTAAAATATGATATTAGAAAAACAGGCCTGAGCTTGTGCATGTGCAGTTCACCGAATAGTCCCTTAGATCAATAAAGCCATGCGCAGCCATTTCTAGCCAATAGAACAAGCCCTTCCACGTTCGCACGGCCCTACTGAAGGTCTCCTAGTGCAACAAGATTGACAGGCCATGGGGATCCTGCCAGTGCATTAGTCTGCCTAATCAGGAGTTTAGTTAGAGCTGGAAACGTGAGACCCATGTGGAGACAGGAGAGGATGGAGACCGGGGAGGTGGAGGTGGAGGTGGGGGGGGGGGGGGGGGGGGTAAAGCACCTGGCACTCGCCTCCGATACCCTCTCAAGTAAAGCTGACTCAGCCCTTACTGCGGAGGCATGTGTGTATGTGCGTGTACGTGGCAGCATATTACCCCCCCCATCCTCCCCTCCTCCCCCCCCCCCCCCCCCCCCCCCCCCGAACTCTCTCTCGCTCTCGCTCTCTCCTCGCCTCTGCAGTCCCTCTCCTGCTCACTCCTCCCTGTGTCGGACGGCGGAGACGCGCGCTCCCTGCCTCCATCCATCTGTCCCCCCCGGCTGCCGGCTCAGCTTCCAGCGTCCCTCCTTCGTCTGCTCCTCCTGCGCCCCCTCGGCATATGTCTCCCACCCACCCCCCCTCGCTCCCCCGGCTGCTGTAGCCGCGGAGGCGTCCGACACTAACCTCTCTCCGCCTGCGCCTCCTCGTCGCTGCTTCGCTGGATAATCACCACCGAGCCTGAAAGAGACGGCGACAGAGGACGGGAAGGGAGGGAGGGAGAGAGGGAGGGAGGGAGGGAGACGAGGAGCCCGCACACTTCTTTCACACTGCTCCGTTCTTCAGTTCGACTCCGCTTTGGCTTTTCTGGCCCTGCTTTGGAGCGCAGCGCAAAGGGGGGTGGACTGAGGGTGGAGGGGACAACTGCTCGGTAGATAACTCCCCCCCCCCTCCCTCCGAGAGGAATTCATCCTCCTCTCATTGCGCGTCCACCCACTGGGACAAAGTGCAGAAGACGGGAGGTGGGGGGGGGGGGGGTAAGATAAGGGGTGGGGGGACTGTCCCGCCTGGCGAGACACGTAGATCAGACGCGCGGGAGGACTGTCAGACGGAGGGGGGACGGGGACGGGGGGTGACGGATTGACAGAGACGCACGCACACCAGAGACATGCGCGGACGGACAAGCGGTGCCATGGCGACGGCGGACAGCGCGGGATCCAGCGTCCCTGGTCGGCTGAGATGTGGCGATCTGCTTCACAGCGGTCTGGTAGTGGCTCTGCTGCTCGGTGAGTTACACTTCTGTCTTCTGTCTCCTCAGCCCCCCCGTCCTCTCCCATCCAGTCGCCTTTTCCCGCCACTTGAAGGGTAAAACGCGCGGGGAATGTCACACGTGATGTTCACCTGTTGCTGCGATCGGGGCATCAAGGTCAATATTTAAAACCCGACCCGTGGAACCCCCAAAGTCGGACATGCAGCTCCTGAGCTGACTAGATGAAATGTGTGGAACGATGGTAGAATAAACGCCTCAGTTGTGGCCTCAGTTCCCACCCGTGGGTGCGTGTGGGTGGAGGGGGGGGGGGGTTGTAGTACAGTGACGTAGTGATGCAGTGGTGATTTGTGATTCTGCTCGTCCACTCCAGAACGTACTCCTCACTCTCCAGTTGTTTCGAAACTCAAAAAACAAAAACTATTTTCCGACATTTCTTTCTTTTGGGGCTTGTCCAAGTGAATTGTTCAGTCGGTGACACGGTTTATCTTCTCTAGTGGGATAATTGACCAAAGGGTATATTGCAATCCAGTCGAGATAAGTCCTACTCGAACATCATTAATTTATTTTTCTGGTGAACAAATAAAACATGAGAAGAGCTTGAACTAAATAATTAAATAACCAGGAAAAAAAAGTACAAGTCTTTAAAAGTGTTGAAAAGAGCGAAACCCAACAGCATATTTGCATTGCACCCTCTTCAACAACATCGTCTTGTGCACACCATGTGACATTTTGCCAGTAACCTTCTGATTTGTTAAGTGCTGACATATTAGCTCTCCTCTTAAAGCCCCTGTCAATACAATGCATTAGAGAGAACACGGCATTCGTTTGTATCTGACGTCTTACAATTATTATTTTTATTAAAATGTTTGAAACGATCAACCTGAATGAAAAACCAAACCAAACCAAAAAGAAAATGCATGTTATTCAGTTGGGTTTTCTCTTATTGCAGTTTACCTGCATGGTTTTGTTCCTTTCAATATTTATTTATGCTTAAGTTGTTTTCTTGGGACCATATGGCAAACTATTATAGTTGGATTTGATCCCAACAGTTATTTAAGTGGGTACGAAATGATAACACTCATACTGATAGCCAACAATATGTGACCCATTCGGACTCCTGCTGAGAATACGGAAACCAGACAGGAAAGTTATAACAGCCCATTATAACAGTATTGCTTTCAATACATACGTACACTAGAACCCACTCCAGATCTGAGATTTATTTTAGATTCACGAGTTTGTCACACAGGCACCAAAACAAGAGCACTTTGTTAACTTTGGTTAAACGGTTTAATACAGTGTGACATTGGATGCAAGTCTGTATATTTAGTTGTGTTATTTTACCTGTTGGGTAATCACTGTTTTAATTAGTAGGTCATCTTTTTTTATTCTGTTCTTAATTGCTGCAAAATCTGGTAAATCCCATGCAGTGAAGATGAGATAGTTTCATTTCAAAGTTTAAAATGGAACCAGTAGAACCAAAAGAGCTCTGGAATGCTCGGCTCGATCCAAAGTCAACTCCGCTCCCATCTTTTACCCATCAATCAATCATCATCATTCCCTCAGTTTTTGGTGTTGACCTTCTCACGACCTTGGAAAACACAAATATATATTTTTATATATATTTTATATATTGTTATATAAAATGTACAAAGAGTGGCTGGAGGGCCGGCCTCCATCAGCCACAAAAATGCTAATATATATATATATTGGTTGAACCACAACTGATGGAGACAAAGCTCCTCAGAGTGGCAGTTTAATAAGAATATAAGAAATAATCTGTCATTTGTAATACATAAACTGGAAGCTTGTGATAATATGATGTATTGTATAATCAGCTTCCTGTTTTAGTGTCAGGTTTTTCACAATAATGGTGCCTGGAAACTGTTCCAAACTGGAACTAACAGGTAATGTGTTGCTTTAGCAAAGCTCTTTAATAGAAAGTTAGGTTGATATAGTCTGAATACATCACAGTACAACCCTCCTCAACTTAACCACCGACTAAACGGCAGAGGTCCAAATAAGCTTTCGCCATCTGGTCTCCGTATGAAGGCAGCAGGAGCTGTGTTCGTACTCCCGGAAAGAAGTCGGACACGTTCCCGGTGGGTGTCGACCCGCGCTGCCCTTCATCACCGGTCCTGTCCGTGAAAGTCACAAGAAGGAAATCAAGGCGCAGTCGAGGGGCCGGTTGAACGGCAGGTTCGGGGGCGTCGAGATTGCCCCTCTGCTGTTAGATGATGTGGTCCAGTTGGCCTCCTCGGGCGGTGACCTCCAGCATCCACAAGTGGCAGGAAGGAGGTTTAGCGCCTCCAAATCCGAGGCCGTAATGCTCTGCTGGTAAACCGGACATCAGGAGTCGAAAGGAGTGAGGCTGAGGTGGTCGAGGAACATGGATGGATGGAGGCCGCTGCTTGTACCGAGCCCTCCCAAGATATGCAAAGACACAAAACAATCACTTCAACCACAAGATATCAAACCCCTTTCATCCTCTTCTTAACGTTCACAAGTTGCAGTCTAAGGGTTCCATACGTTAAGTGATTATGCAACACATTTTGCTGTAGAGAATAAGAGCATGCATCAGATTCAGTGCAGCTCATATTATAGGGCAGTCAGTTGGCGTGTAAATGTGATAACAGTTCCACATGTTGTTACTTGTTAGCGTGGCTATCATACTACATACGTGCGCGTGTCTGTGTATGTGCTGCGTAAACGTGACGCCGCCTCGGCCGCACTTGATTCAGTAACTTGGCCGCTGTTCTAATTCTCTGCCCCGCTGTCACTTCCCCTCGCCTGGAGGAGGAGGCCGTCCCACCACCTCTCCCGATCCATCCTGCACACTGCACCACCTTCACCACCCCCCCGCGCTCCGCCATTCATCTTGTCTCCCTCCCTCTTTTACTCAGAGAGGTAAAAGTGCCCTCGCTCTGTTCTCCCTGGGTTCACTCGGAAATACATTAACCCTTCAGTCTGTGGCCTAGAAAAGAACTCACCTTCACCAGCGGCCAAGGACACACACACACACACACACACACACGTGCGCGCGCAGTCGGTTGCTCTTTCTCTCGTAAGTGTTTCAGATATTGATGGTTCCCCAACTGGGACAAGAGATATTTGATAGTGGAGCTAAAAATATTGCACGTTCCATTACGCGCGCGCACGCACACCACAGCTGGTGTTATCACGCCGCGTGAGTCGACGGGTTTTTGTCAGGACGACATGGAAACATTTGAGAAGAAGAGGAAAGAGTGCGGAAGGGAAAGAGGATGGTAGAGAACAGAGGTGACGAAGGAGGGAGGTGTGAAATCTATTTCTAGGTACGAGGGGAGGGGGGGACTCCTCTGGGATGTGTAATAGATCATGGTGCTTTTTTTTCTCCATTGTCTTCCCCCTTGACTTTCTCCGCACCGTTATTCTCTCTGGAGCACTCGTTTGCAATCCTCGCTCCGTGGCCCAGTGCCGCTGCTTTATTTAGGTAAGATATTAATTATTTATCCACTTAATGGGGATTTAGACGAGCAGAAAACATTTCAAACTTTTGTGCGGTTATCAATGACACACAAATAAAACACACAAACACAACACTGCTCCCCCGACTCGCCTCAATTTGTTTAGTTAGAGTGTCCCCGAGGGAAACGTTCGTACAAGAGCGAAAGTGTCCAGTGCCACAATACTCAAAACCCTAAGAGCCCATTAAAAGAGAGCAGAACCAGAAACGGAAAACAAGGAGAACCCGAATGGGCTTAGTTGCTACTCAAGGTAAAAGGACCACAGAGGAGGGGTCCAAATAATGGATGTTAGAGCAAAGAAGTGAAACTGAGAAGAAAGAGCAGCAAATTCAGCTGACTGAAAGTACAAATGATACACATTGAAGTACCTTTAATGTGATGTTTAATATTCTGAATGCAACATTCCAACGATCTAAAACCGTATTGCCACATGAACCTAGATGGCACCAGAAAAGTGTCACTATAAACGACTCTTTGAGTCTGTACAAGATGTTATTCAGTTGTTTTTTCTCTCAAAGTAAATTACTTTACAGACCAGACAGTAATTGAAAAGTTGTGTTAAAATCATACACAGCACAATTAGTTGCGGAAATCTAGGCTGTGTTCCTTTATTGCAATTAGTGTGAGGAAGTTGAGGTCGGCTGTATTCACGTGTTACTGTCACAGCATTGAGTTCAGCACCACTGGACCTAAAGGGTCGCAGGTGAGCGAAAAGACAAAGGGACCTGGTTACTACGGCATCATCACCCATTAACTCATCAGGACTTAGCATGTCTGACGTGGGGAGGTAGCAAGTGGGGGAGCGGCCATTGCCCCCCTCCCCCTCCCCCACCTCACTCCCCTGTCCAGGTTTGTTTTCTGGCCCCTGGTGGGATCGCAAAATAGTCTCCAGTCTCTGGCCAGCAGGGTGTGCGTGACTCTGTTTCTCTGGCTCATGTCCAAATCAGTCAAAGTGGTACCAGGTAAATAAATTAAAAAAATAGTGCAATGTGATGGCAACACAACTAATGGAATGGTTTTTTCTACATTTTTGAACAATTGCCTAATTCTTTTAATACTACTTTCATTCTATACACATTTGTAACCTCCAGTTGGCTCTTGGGATTGGACAACTTTATCACAGTAACTTCAAATTGCCTATTGCCGAACGTCAGTCCAGAAAATTACAATTTATTTCAACTTCAAAAGGGAGACCCCCCCCACCCAAGTGACTACAGCGTGCCCAGAGCATTTACCACCCAATGATGAAAGTAAACAGGGATTTTATCCAAAATGACTCCAGGGATTCTGCTGTGAGGTTTTGTTTACGCTGATGTCTTTGCGGGGCTGCAAAGCTCTTCTGCAGATGGCCGGTCCCTCCCAGACGCATGGGCGAACACGCACTTCACCACCGTGTCCCAGTGCAACGTGAGCCTGTGCCGGTCGGCGTGTAGATCAGCGTTTATAAATAAGCCCCGAGTATATTAGGGACACCAGAGCACACTGTAAGAATGTCCCTGGGGGAAAAAAACAAACACACCCGGCAGGGCGAGACCCACATATCGGTATTTATGAGGATTTCGGTCTTGCTGAACCCTTTGATGCAAATAATGAGTTTACGGCGCGATAATGCCCAGAAACTTCACTGGCAACATCAACGTCCAAGTCAGAGCGGACTAAAGGAGAGGTGTGCACTCAAGAAATGAAAAAACACTGTTTGGGGTAGAAAACTGTCATTCATCAGCTGCACTTACTGTAATAGAAGCTATTTGACTTTGTGATGTCATCAGTTGTACTCAAAACAACTGATGACATCACAAAGCAAACAACGACGTCACTTATGCTGTAAAACACGAGTCTGAATTATATATATATATATATATATATATATATATATACGCATCTCAACTTCTCATTCTATTGTCTTAATCTTTTCCCGTCCTCCCGTTGTCCAGGTGTTTGGAGTGTTGGTGGACTGGAGGTCACGACGAGTAAAGTGCCTCTACTTGAAGCAATTAATGGCTCCACGGTCCTGCTGCCCTGCACCTACTCCTCCTGCATTGGCATCAAAAACCTCTACTTCAACTGGCACTACGACGACAATGGCACCCTGCTCAAGGTAACGCACACAGGCACACACACACACACACACATATACACACTCTTGTGTGCAAGCAAAAGTAACTTGGATGTACCTTATGTAACATTATTGCCCTTTCTGAGATGGATCGATGTGCTAATGGCAATTGATCTTCCTACCCATCATCTGTAAACCTGTGTGTGTGTGTGTGTGTGTGTGTGCGCGTGTAGTTATGTGAGGGGGTGATTCCTATTGAGGGTGTGGAGCCCCGGGTCAGCGTGTACCACGAGCGCGTGGAGTTTGTCGGCTCTTCGAAGAGCAACAACATCTCCATCCTGCTGTGGAACATCACCTTCGAAGATGAGGGAACGTACGTCTGTTTCGCCAGGAACCCAAAAGAGAAGTACCGCAACCACACTGCTTTCTACGTTCTTAAAGTGGTGGACCAACGTATGTGACTCGTGGATGCGTGCAGCTGCAAAGACACACCTGTGTTCAGATTACATCCGATACAAGTGCTCGTAGCTTCAGACGGACACGAATGCACCCTCTTTCTCCCTCACGAGGTCTTTCCCTCTCTCCCTCTTTGCAGTGAAGGAGATTGAAACGACTTTGACCACCATCATCGTCTCCGTGGTGGGCGGAGTCATTGGGATAGCCATCCTGGCCATGGTGATAAAGGCCTTGGTTGTTCACTTTCTGCTGAAGGATGACGAGAAGAAGTGAGTGGATCACTGACTGTGATAACAGCTGGGGATGTGTTGAGGAAATGCAGAATATAGTTGATTGCAGACAGTATTAGGATTCTTATAAGACATTTGGCTGAATGTAGTGCTGTATGAATGTTTTGGTCAATTGTTCTTTTAGCTTTTCCTTTTAAAAAGGGACTGACAGAGAAGACACAGATAATGACTGAAAGAGCCGTGTTGACATTTTCAAACAAAAAAAAGAAAAAAAAGGTTGCTTGACCTTCAATAACGTGACTGATTAAGACTACATTATTGTCTTACTGGTTGATATTTTAGATATGAGAAATACAGCTTAATTCGTCATCATCGGCCACATAATATTAAGTGTTACGTAAACACAAGAGAAGCTGCTCTATCCGGTCTGAATAACAAACACAGATGGAATCTCTTCATTTTTTCACATCTATCACAAAATGTATGTTGTAACGCATCTGAAATACGACACACGCACGTACACAAAATGTTGCACGACTGGCAAGAGACATTAAGTTCTCAGAATGTTCTTCTTAGCTTTCAATTAACTTTGATATGTGTTTGAGTACAATCGTAGTTTCCCATTTGTGGGTTTCGTATTCGGGGCTGTGAGGGAAAGTCTGCAGTATTTAGTATGTATCGCGGATTTCCTCCCTCCTAACCTTCGCTTTTAACTGTCCCCCTGCAGCAAAGAGTGCCTGGTGAGCTCAGGGAATGACAACACAGAAAACGGGGGTTCAGGAGCCAAAGCAGACAACAAAGGGACACCGAAGGCATGAGCGAAAAGCACGTCTGTATGTCCGTGTACGCGTTGAGGCTAATGTACAGGCTCATAGAAGGAGCTGTTACCAGGGGACTGTTTTATCTTTACTAGCGGCTAACGCGACGTGTAAATTTCTATTTAAAATCATGCTTCAGATTGGGGAAGCGTGGAATGTACACGTGCCTGGATCCCTCTCTCAGCTACGCGTCGGCCCATTTGTTACGCACCGTGCGCAGCCTCCGTTACCGGCTCTCCTGGAAGCTGGAAAATAGTTTCTCTGGTCTCAAGAAAAACTGGTCTCCAGTACACTTGCTGTTTTCATACCCGCTTTACATCATCTTAGAGGAATCATCTTGCCCAAAAGCAGATCCTCTGTTTTCCTTATTTTTGAGCAAATTGGAATAATAGACTGCCACTTCAAGCCCCCCCCCCCCCCCCCCCCATCTACAACCCAAAGTCAAACTTGGACCCAAAAGAACTTAACCAGTGGCAGCAAACACACCTCGATGCCACGGTGAATTGCCAAAACCTACGTACTGCCATGATGCCACAATGTCATCATTTTTCAGTTCACAAAATGTGTTAAATCTACTAAAATTACATATTTTCAACACATGTTTGACCATTTTTGTGATTAACAAGATTGTTTTCGAAACATTTTTGCCCTGATCTTTTATTTTTGATGATCTGACCGTTACATACTGCCATTGCCGACCGGAATTTCCACCTGGAACGTTTACGGCCGGGTCCAGGTTTGACCTGCTGACGGGGGGGGAGTTTGGTCCATTAGTGCCAACCGTAGATTTTTTTGATTGGCTACTTCCCGGCCGAGGCCAACAACTGGGCTCTCTTAGGTGACTGAAGGATCCAGTGATGCACAGGTTTATTGTTTTGCTCTAGATGAAACACAGGTGCCTGTTCTGCTTCTGCTCCCTCTGCTGGTGGGAAGATGAAAAAATAAATATATTAAAAAAACCAATCCTATCCCTCATGAAAGACAATCCCTAGATTACCCAGCTCCCTATAGAAACCAATGACATTGATCATGCTGCTTCTGAGTAATAACCAATGCATTTTTAGCATGTGTGCATTTGATATAACTTCCCGTGTAGTGTACGTTGTCTCGGGCCACAGTAGAGGAACGTTTCTGTGTGTCCCCGTATGGTCCCATTGAACCCCTCACATCGCCTCCAATCGCCTGAAGCTCCCTCAATTGCTTGATGAACACCTCCCAACTCTGCCCCCGACCATTCTCACCCTTTTAAACCGGGTCCCACGGATGGCCCGCAGGTATTTGCGGGTAAAGAAAGAGTTAACGGCATTTGACACTTCATTCAAAAGGGAAAGCGTGAATCACACGATGGAACAACTGGACGTTTAGTGAGAAAGTGGCCCCTTGGCCAGTGGCGTATCAGCAGGATGTCGTGTGCGGAGTGCAACATAATACAATTACACAACCACATTTCCGTGCCTGTATGCAGACTCTAACTGGCTACCTTCCAATAATAAACCAACCGCAAGAAAACACTTAACCCCACGAGTCCCTTGGTGCTGCCTCAGTAAAGCGGGTAGCACAACATTAGGACAGAAAAAGAATGATTGTCAGGGAAATGATGTTTAATATCATTTATGAATAGTATATTTTCATCCGTCCTGAACTCAATATAGTAATCCTAAAATCAAATGAATGTTTGAATAGACTTAAAGGCCAGTGGTTTATTTTTCTTTGCCAACAACCAGCCGATATCAGTTGGTGGTTTCTAAATAGTACTGCTGTCATAGTTTGGAGGGTCCTTGGAGTAAATAAACAGATATAAAAATATATATTATATGTGAATTTAGAAGCGACACTTTGCAATAGGAAAGTTTAAGGTGGAACAAAGTACTTCACCGTATCACATCTAGTGATTGATATGGACGTACTTAGAGCTGAGATGCTGACGGGGAACGAGAAGCGTCTCTCAGTACAAAAGGTCACGTCGGTTAAACGGGAAGACATGAGCTGCCCCGCCCTCACACATCGCCTACGTAGCTGTGACGGCTGAGAGCCACACACAGACATGCGCACACACACACACGCACCTACACACTAGGAGCCACCTTGGTACCAGCGTGGCGTACGCTGGTCTTGCGTACAAACAATACAGCACTTTTTCCCCGTTGGGAGTGGCTGCGCTCGACAGGGACTCCTGGACGTGGCTCAAAAGTCATCGCTCCTTTGAGACACTTTTGGGAGAGCCGCCAAAATCCAACAATGTTTGAGCATTGTCTGCACACTCTGTGCTGGTTTGTTCATTGGGAAAGACTTTATCTCATTTGTCTCAAATTGCTCTCCGGTACAACTGGAGCGCATTCCCCGTTTTGCTTTCAATGGAAGCAATAAGACAGATATCAGATTATGCAATAACCTGTTATAAGGCACTTTATGGAATGTGTCTGGGCTGGCTCCGTTCGAGGCACCGTTCATTTTACCAATGTATGTATCTACACTGTACTCATGTACTGTATTTACTGTATTCCAGTTGGACTAATGCACCGGCATTAGTTTCCTACTGCAGATAAGACAAATCGATCTACTTTAACGGCTCCTTATTCATTGTAACTGTAAATGTGTTTGAAGTGATACAGCATCCTTTAGTGTTGTAAAACTGTGAATGTTATGGATACAAAGACGCACTTCACACAGACCTGCACACACACACACACACTTGCTTCCCTGTCTGTAGAGTCTTGTGCACATCCCTCTGTAGACAGGATACATCCAAAGTCTTAGGGAAAAGCAATACCCTGGATTTGACCTGTCTGTTTGTGCACTTTTCTTAATTCATACTTTTAACCCTTACAGAATATAACAAAAAGGTTGCTTCCTCTGAGGGTCGTGTCCTTTAACGTGTATATTTGTGGATTTGTGTGGTCCCACTTTCCTGTTTCTGTGATCCCTTACTTGATTTCTTGGGGAATGAAACCCATTATCATTATTTATACTGTATCTTTTTTGGCGGGATGGAGATTTTGGATATTTATGATAATAATAGCTTAATTTCCCTGAAGTGTCAAAGTGGGAAACCTCGCTGAGCGCAGCAAACCAGACAGGTATATGTGTGGAAGGTAAACTATTGCTCTCTGGTCTAATGCGGTCTGTATCTAGTTGTGGAACTCGGTGAAATATTGGCTTTCTCGCAAAAGTCCCTCTGTACCCTCTGACCTTCCCTGTCTTTAATATGTGAATCGTCTGCCACCTGCTTGTTGTGATGGCTGCAGTACTGAGTCGGCCCTGTGCAGTGCGTGATGCTTCTCTGCAGCATAGTGAACCCAGTAGGACTGACACCCAGTGGTCGATACCCGACACGTCGAAAGCTCTTCCCTCTGGAGGAAGCTGATGAGACGTTTAATTCCAAAATGCACATTTTGATACGTATTGAAATGATTATTTAAATTTCTGATAGCATCATTACTGCAATTTCCATAGTCAAAACAATATAAACATATTATACATTATGTATAAAATTGTGGCTAATTGCTTTAGATAATGCCAGTAATTGTTTACAAGTATACGTAATTGTAACCCCTGTGCCCATTTGACAAAACATCTGCATTTGAAAAAAAAGGGGGTGATATGTAAGTTAAGTTTACACTCAATCTTTTAGGAAAAGGATACATGCAACAATTTGTACAAACATGATTCCTCTATCAAATCGTTAGAGTAACATTAGCCACTAAAGCGACTAAGAGTTGTGACTGACCACTATGATGACTCAGAGTTAGTGTTGCTCTCACTGCCAGAGCGGCTGAAACTCAAACTGCCAATCCAAGAGTCTCACGTCTGCTGTTGTAACTACACTACTACGACGACACGCAACTTATTCAGTGTACGTACACTACGGTCATGATTTTGTATCACTGTCTGATGCTCCGATAATGGCATTCCACTACTAAACTGTACACGGTGTTGCTCTGAACTGCGTCTGTATTTCTAGCAGCTGAAACTGACACTGCCAAGCCAAGAGTCTGACGTCTGCTCTCTGTTTCCCACATTCCACCGAGCACTGATCTAAGATCAGCAGAAAAGTTCAAGTGGATGACACATAAAATGAGATGAAGTAGAGATATTTTATCTTTTTTTTTTTTTTATCACAATGGTGTTACTTTTCGGCATCAGAATTATTAGAATTGTCTGAATAATTTCTAACAAAGATAGCAAACTTCAAACGTATTATCAGTGATGCCAGAATCTGCTACACATTGACCTATTGTGTGTCAAACTGATATTACACGCTTGGCAAAGTGAATCCCGTAGCCTGTAACCAAATCTCAAGGTTTGAATTAGCACAGGCTGACGATTGCCTTTTAAACTATTTAAACAAGCATTGACTGTAATGTGTTACACATCTGTTACGGCTCTTTATGTTATGTTGTCTTATTCAAGATAAGAGACTCATATTTACACAGTAAGTACTGGTAAGTACTACACTAATGTTACACCTGTAGTAGTATTTTATAGTAAGTGAATTGCTGTATTTGGCTTACTTGGACACAATACATCTGCAACCCCAGGTTCTCCCGATCCTAGTTCCTCTTATTCAGCTGTTTGTCTGTGTTCCCGACCTCGTTGCTCATGCTCCCTTCATGACTATGCACCTCAAACGTTTGACTTGTAAAAAAAATATATATACTGGAAATAAAATGTTTGAAATTCCCACATCCCTGTTGAGTGTCATTGCGTCTCTATCTGACCTTAGAGAATGCTCATTCCCTTCATCCGGTTCGCTGGCTGATAAAGAAAGCAACCGCTCAGCTCTAGATTTGCTTTTCGCTGGTATGTTCATTTTATAGGGAATCATTCAAGCCGTCTTAAATTCATGAAATAGACACTGTGATACAACAGTGATCCAGGTTTGTGGCGACCATGCTTGTATTACCGGAGCAATACAATTATTTATGGCCAAAAGTGGTAGTTTCCAACTCAAACAACAGCTGTATGTCCCATCTGCATTGCGGGTGTCTCATTCCAAAACGGATCATAATATGTGACATAACATGACAATTTCCAAGCTAAAGCTCACATAAAATGATTCACTTCACACTCTTCTTTATTAATGGACAATACGTCTCTCGTCCCTTTAACTGACTCAAGCCAAAAAAAAAATTGTATTTTATCAAATTTCAACTCTCAATTTGGTTTTCTAAAGCGCTCAATCCAGCGGCCTCATGCTTCGGAGGACCCAGCCTTCGTGGTCTACACGGGCCGAGTCCTACAAAGGCCGCGTAGGTTGTGACGTTCACAGCGCGCAGGTGTAAGTCACAAATGAATGATGTCTGAACTCCGTTTCGCTCCCCTGATATCAGGTAGTGTGAAAGCTGGCGCCACTCTCCACCTATACTTATATTACCTATACACAAAGGGGCACAAAGGGGTACTGACTTGATAGTTAATGTAATCAAATAATAATAATATCGGAGTTTGTGCAACAGCTGTGACTTCAGCTGTGACTTCAGCGTGTCACTGAAGATGTGGCTGAACATTCCATCCTGCTCGGAGGTTCAGCCTTCACCCTTGGATGAGGAAGGGAGGATGACAGTGTCCCACTTTGGTCGTCTTTTGAGTTTTTTTGGAGAGACAAGACCCTGCAGAAATATCTGGAGTAACATTTTGACTTCATCTGGGATCTTCAACTTTTGAGGAGATTGATCCAAATAAAGGCCCTTTTCTCCTGCGTTTGTCAGCACAAAATACACAGCTGGTGATAATAAAAAAGATGTCTGTGTTCTCCTCGGGTACCCTGGTACCCATGCGCGATACCAGGACCCCGAAGGTAGAGCAGCTCAAATGAGTTCATTCATAATCATTTTGATTATTTACATTTATTATCTACAGCCTGTAAATCAAAATGCTGCAAAGTCAACAGCTACACTGAGAACTGTCATCTGTCAGTTTGTGTCATTTTAAAGTTCAAACGGAGTCCAGCATATTGATCGGTTCGCTCTGCGTGTCCTAAGCTTCCCATCCGTCCGTACTTTACCGTAATTGCCGTGCAACCGGGAACTTGACGAGGATCCACTGTCTGCCGTTACTGGAAACGGAGATCAATAAACCAGACCGGCTCTCCCATTGATTACCTGTCACCTCTCTCTGTTGACGGGACTCGTGCAGAGGCAACATTGGTATTGATGTGGGGATGAGTTTGTATCTGTTTGGTGTGTGTGTGTGTGTGTGTGTGTGTGTGTGTGTGTGTGCACGTTAAGATCCTCCCTTCATGCAGCCCCCATCAATACCGCATCAATACTACTTCCACAAATAGTCTCTGCAGCGCATCGTAGTCGGTCTCTAATGCGGGAGTGTGAGTTCAGAAGCGGTTGTTAAAATGCACTTTACTTCAGGAAAAGCCAGGTCGACTCATCCATCACTCACCTGTTACCTTTTGAGTTTTTTGGTTTTATTTGAGTAAACTCACTTGAGAATGTTTCTACACCGTCTACATAATCGTAATATCGAGATCCATCCATTGCGGTTCATTTATTTATTTATGCATTTTTTGCAGGACAAGTGGGACTGAAATTGGATTATTGCATGACTTTATTAGATAATCTGTCCACTAGGTGGCGGCAGAGAATAAATAATCTTCAATAGAAGACTCATTCTTTCACAGTGACTCGGCCTCGTGCTATAAACTTCTTATTGCATCTTTAGGCATGGTACCTCATCTCAGGATAACTATTTTACTTTCATTTTGAAACATGCATATGAATTGAACTGGGTTCGTGAGATCATTATGCTGAATTGTAGTTGTTATGTCATCATATTCAATTGTTCAAAAGGAAAAAATATTTATTACACGTAGCCAGTGTTTTGAAAAAATACAATTATCTCTATTTTCATTGCAATATGTGTCTAGCAAAGAAACGCATTTTATTTTTTATAGAATAGAATTTTTCAATAAAAATAAATGGAGTATTGTTGTACATATAATATTGAAAAGTAAGGCCTTGTGCATTGTATTAATCTACACTTGCAATTATACCACATTATTTTAGGTAATACAAGTTAACAGGCATGTAGAACAAAGTATTATTTAGATTGTCTCATACATTATTTTACGTTATTCAAATAGGAAAATTATAAACCGAGTTATTAAAAGGTTGTTTCCCTTGTAATTTGATGTTAAGGACCCCCTCACCTCCAAACTGACCAGGGATCTAAAGCATTATTTCATTCAAAATGCAAAACTCCTTTTTGATTCATCTGTTGTGAAAAACAACAGAAAGTGGAAATTAAAATGAATGTAAAATCATTTAAATTATGTTGAGTGAAATGACTTGCCAGGAATACCCGTCTCTCACTGCTCTCTGCTTTAACGGCCCATTTTTAAAAGACGATAATGTCAACTCAAACATTGTCTTCATAAGCATCTCTGGAAGCATTCACAAATTGATACTCCACACACGAGTAGCACATAATGGATTTAATCATTTATATTTTCCTGGGTTTCAAAATCCATTTTATTATAATAAAAAAAACAGGATGAGCAGGAATTTATTGTAATAAATAGGTGAAATAATTTGTAGCAAATCAAGCCCAGACTGACCACATGTTTCCGGCATTTTTCTAAGATTCAGCAGATTTAAAACACTTAACAGGTATGTGGGCCCACAGTGGTCAAATGTGGCAATTTTTCACCTATTTTTTCAGTAAATTATTAGATTATTTTTGATTCAGCATATTTTGACCAGATTTCATTATCAGAATTTGTAATATACATTATTATAATTGTGTATTGTGAAGACATGTATGTCTGTTGAATTTAATAATTCAATGCAAGCTCCCAAAATATCAATATTCTCATTTTCCATTTTTTATTTTGTTTCCACACAGGTTTGGTTGAACAAAGCAGTGATAAATATCCCCGTTGATCACTTGATTGATTACCTTGCTCAAAGGTCAGGCTGGCGCTGGTAATTTCCTTGTGCCGGAGGCTCCCTTTTCACTTTTAGTCCGCCTTCACGGCCCCTAATACAGATCATGTTATGTTTTTTAACCCCTTAACAGCTGCCCACGCTGCTACTGTAACGCAGCAAACATACATAACAACTTGTTTCTAACAGAGGTGCCCTTGCGATAAACAATAATGAATAAAGTTTGGTACCATATATGTGTGGGTCAATTTAAATGAAAATAAAAGAGTTGGGGCAATATGTTCTGTTTGCAACCGTGTGGGTCTCGAACCCAATTAATTTCTAATAATTACAATCCACGGGGCTTTGGGGATGTCCGCGGCGCTGCGCGCTGCCACCGGGTTCAGCGTATCATAATAAAATATATGTATAGAGAAAGTGCTTCAGAGGAATGGGGGGGGGGGGGTTACTTATTGCAGGGAATGAAAACTGTTTCCATTTAGGCTAATTGAGCACGCCGCCTGAAGCTCTCTCTCTCTCTCTCTCTCTCTTTCTCGCGCGCGCGCACCATCTTCTCGCGCACTCCCGCTTAATAAAACCCAGGGTGTCATTACAATGAAGGTAGAGTGAGATACAATGAAGTATACATGCGAACCGCTCTGACGTCAGTGCGTCTGTATGTGTGGATTTGGCACTTTGGGGGTTTTATCGTCTTTATTGTCTGTTTGCTATTGTTGCTAATATTGACTTTGAGACTTTTATCTCCATTCATATGAAATTTTTTCCTCGGGCCTTAAATGTTTGTTTTTCCCAGGGCATGATGTCTGGATCAGTTTCAACACAGTTGAGAATCGATAGCTCGAGTTCATCCACAAGGTCAACATGATCTCACGCGCGTCTAATTAATTGCCAATTACTGTGATTATGCTTGGGAACAGATATCTATATATTTTTAGCAGTAGTGGGATTGCGGTTTTTGTATCTACTGGTACTCTGTTTTGTTAAATATATGACCACTATACAGTGTTTATGTGATAACAGAGTTGTATTGACATGTAGTGCCTTAAAGAGTGTGGCCCGTTTCTTTCAACCCTAAACGAAACGAAGCCAACCATTATTCCAACCACCAAGACGAAGACTCGGACACAAGTAGTTCTTCTTTCTTTCCTTTCTTTCGCGATGTTCTCCTTCAAAGTCAAATCAAGTGAAAACATCCCTTTCGAGCCCTGAGCAATTACCACGTGATGAAATGTACGCATTGCAACAGAAACGTCTCAAACGGGCATTAATTCTGAGCACTTAACATATTAATTATTGTCAGCACAAAGCGGAAGAGAGAGAGAGAGAGAGGGAGAGAGAGAGAGAGAGGAAAGAAAACCTGCACTCATATTAGGGCTGTCAGTCGGGTGCCCAAGCGGGAGAGGAAGGGGGGAGGTGGGGGGGGGGTCATTCATTTCCCAGTGCTCGGTATAATGGTCAAAAACACAATTAAAATATATAAAATCTTTAATGACTATATGCAGCATTGGTAATTTAGGTGAACGTTGATTAATGTGACTTCCCTCGGAGAGAAAAGGTGCAGAGTAAAGATTGAGAACAAGGATCGTTGTAATAAATGTCCTCCACGCAGAGCAGCTCCGCGCTGCTGCACTGCAACACACACAAAAAACTAGCTTTTTATGTGGCGCTCATTGTTGAACTTTTTTCCCTCTTTTACTTTGAAAATATCGACAAATGATTATTGCATTGCTTTTTAGCGACGTTCAACTTGTTTTTTTCTCAATGTGAACTGTGTTGCGTTGCCTTCTGCTGCCTTCGGCTGCGAGGTCCTCGTCCTGAAATAAGTGCACGCTGCGGGGGACGCATCTCAATTAGAAAGTTCCTCACTCCTCTGAAATCTGAGGCTTCCACAACGTCGGACATTTTTTTGTTTTGTTTTGCAGTGTGCGATGTTTTGTCGGAAAACTCTTGCCACGAAAAGGGAGATGTCCACGATTCACACCATCTTGACCGGATCAGGTTGATATCAAAAGTGATAAATCGTCCCAAACTTTTTTTTCTTTTTTTTCTGTCACTTGCTGCCGGCAGATCTCGTTGCTGTGCGCATGTGCGAAGGTGTCCAGACTGACAATGCTGGAGAGATAGCGCGTTTGGATTGAGAAACCCGGCGAAAAAAGGACAGAGAGAAAACAAAAAAGGACGAAAACAAAACAACAACAACAAAAAAAACATCCAAGAAAAAAATCCAAACAAACCTACTCCGAGAGACCGGCACCATGAGGTCCAAAGGCAGGGCACGGAAACTGGCCACGAGTAGGTGCAACATCCCTTTTCTTCCCTTTTGCCATATTATGTACCTATACAGACTGTCGCTGTTATCAATAGTTTTCCGTAACGATTACTTTTCCGCCAGGAAAAAAACACGTATCCGCTTTTTTTTAAACCTTCTCAAGTGTCGAAACGCCGGTGTTCTCGCGAGGAAAAAAAAAAAAAAGAATTAAACGCTGCCCTCCAGAAGAGGGTAAACTTTAAAGTTTTGCGCCCGGATGGAGGAACTTTGTGCAGGGCTCCAGCAGTCGCAATGGCCGGGTCGCACGTAGTGGGCGCTGTAGTGTAGTCTGGTGCGTTTCAGGTTCGAATCCCCTTCGCATCGGCGGCGGTTTTCTGCAGTCGCTGCGCGCTGCTCGGTCGCAGGGAGCAACTCGGAGACACGCCGTTCGGTGCCGGGAAATAAGGAGAAAAAGGAGGATGCGTTGGACGCGCACGGTGCATGCGCTGCGGGGAAACGGGGGGATCGTGTTTGTAACTCTTTGTGTGTTTGTGAGTCTGGCGGTTTCGTTCCCGAGCTCGTTTTAATGCGTAATGTGTTGATTGTAAAAATGATATGGAACTTCGGGGAGAAAAGAACAACAAATGCACCGAGATGTTTGAATTATTTTGAAGCACGACTGTTTTTAGTGTGCAGACTGTTCACTGCGTGCACCGCATGGTTTTGCTAACAAAATGTACGTAGGAGAAAAATTCTTACTTAAAGTATTAATTGAGTTTGATTAAATGATGTGTAATATCACTCTCGTCATTAAATTGATTTAATTCCTTCGAGCCAATCAACTATAAGACGTTATGCAATGAGATGATTGATGTGGTGATTCATGCATTGATTTGCTACAATAAATTATCAAGAATTATATACATATATTTTCTCAAAGCTGTGCCAATCGAGCTTTATTATATGTGTTCATTTCTATATTTGCATCAGTGTTCGGTGTCCTTGTGCTTTGTGGTTTTTCATTTGTTTTTAAGGATGACGTTAAATTGTTGAGGTTATTTTCTTTGCAAAACTTACAGTAATAATCTAGAATTGCGTTGCAGACCTTTTGGAGAGGAAATAAAATAGGCAGACAGGTCAAAACGAGAAAAGGCAACAGTGCAATGGTCATTTTCAGTCTGTGTTGTATCAGCTAAATACAAACAAAAAGGCTTAGCAGTTCCGAAGTGTAGTTTCAACAGGCAATAAGCAGCAGAGGATGAAGAAGAAGTTGAGAGGCTGCACGTAGGAGCGTCGAGGGAAGTTCCTATTTAGTTGGTTTACTTCACACGAGCTCACGGAGGATATCCTGGTGAAGTTATGAAACAGAGCAAATATATATAAATATATAAGGTATAGTGTTGTTTAGAAACTATTGTAACATGGATAAGGAAATAGGTACATGCGCGCGCACACACACACACACACACACACACACACACACACGCACACACACACACACAACCATCATGACCAACAGGAAAGAAAACACTGGTTTTCCCAGTCAGATGTCCTCCAGGTCCCAAATTCTGGGAAACACAAAACTTTTTATTGGGACGTTTTTACGCACAAGAGAAAGAATCACTTGCGTTTATCTGCGTTTAACCTGGAGAACATTTATTTAAAGATCATCATTCGCGAGATGGAAGACGTAGATTTCCGCCTCTTCTGTCAGATTGAGGCGGGTGCGTGCGTGTGTGTGTGTGTGTGTGTGTGTGTGTGTGTGTGTGTGTGTG